GGATACATTGCAGATGGAGACAGGAGATGTTGCCGTTTTGGGGAGGGGAAGGGGCGCAAAAGAAGGGGAGGGGGAATAACAGGGTGAAAAGGGAGGAGAAGCCGGTTGTGAAAGCTACCGTGAAGAAGGAGAAGAAGAGGAAGGTTAAAGAGGAGATGGGGAGTGGGGGGAATAAGAGGGTGAAGGTGGAGGAGGGAGTGGCGGCTGGTCGGTCTGTTCAGTGGAATGGAGATGGGCAAGATGTGATCGAGCTGGACTCGGAGGATGAGCCCATGATCATGCGATCAGCGAGGGTCAAACCACTGACCATGGCTTCAGCCAGACTCAAGCCATATCCAGAGGACGAACCACTGGCACTGCATTCACTCAGAATCAAGCCAGACCCCGAGGACGAAGAGGATCAATCCCCGGTCATACGTTCACCCAGAATCAAGCCCGACCCAGACGATGAGCCCGTGGCCCTGAGTTCAATCAGGATCAAGCAAGACCTGGAAGATGAGCCCACGCCTATGTCCCCTCCACAAACAAATCCGCTCCCCATGTTCAAGTTGGAGGAGGATGACTGGTAGTGCCATCGATTTTTCCCCTTTTGCCACGACAACATTGGCGGATGTGGGCAAACATTCTTTCTATCCGATACTCCAATTGATGATACATTGTTCGAAGCTGTCCTGCACCACAGTTCATGTTTTGGACAACTAAATCTAGACTTAGAGACAACCTAGTGGAGTTGTCACTTGCCTTGACCAGTTGATAGCTCTTTTGCAAGACATATGAAACCTCACACAGGGCATTAAGAAATCAAAGCATAGAAAGAAGCACTTAAATCGTGCCTTGATTTTACACTTCCGATTGTGACAATATACGACCCACGACTTCCTTTAACTTGCCTGAAATACATCCGGTGACACATATTCTAGTAGGGCATATCATACCTACTTTCAACTTCAGCACAAAGATGCGTGAAGAGTGAACCGAAGTGCTAAACACCTTCAAGCTATTGAACAAAGCATCTCCTAATTTACGTCACCTCTCAAGCCTTCGGTGCATCCGTCAATGGCACATACCTAACCCCAAACAACTTCCTCTTTTTCACCTCCCCCTTCTCATCCTTATCCACACACCAAATATGCTGTCCCCACCCCTGCGGATCATCCTCATCATCCACAGGAATAAACATCCTCCCCGGGCTAGCCAACTGCTCCAGCAACTCCTCATGCACCTTCACCGCCGCCGCCCCCACATGAATCGCATCCCAACTCTTCCTCCCCTGTTCCTCCTCATCCCTCCACCCCTTCCTCCCATCCCCAACCCTAAACCTAACCCTCCCCCCCTCAATCAACTCCCTCCCCTCCCTCGACTTCTTCATATTCCTCTCCCCCAGCTCCTTCAACGGCTCAATATGCTCCACCCCCACCACCCTCCCCCTCTCCCCCACCAGCTCGGCAAGCACATGAGTCAAATACCCCGATCCGCTCCCTATATCTAGCACCCTCGGCGCCGGCCTCTCCTCGCCCGGCATTATAAACTGCAGCAAGTGCTCCACCGCAGAGGCGTGCATGTGCGGCGCTGAAATAGTAGCGTGGTGCCCTATAGGCTGAGGACAGTCTTCATATGGGGACCTGGGAGCATAATGCGCGCGGTCGACTTTTAAAAAAGCGGATTTCACCTCGGGGTGGGTGATCATCTCGTTGCGCCAGAGGTTCTCGACCAGCTCGCTGTTGGAGGTGCCCGAGCTGCGCCAGGCCATGGTGTCGAATTTGGTGGGCGTGAAAGACGAGTAGGGTTGGAAGTGCGGCGGGTGACGGGACTGGTACTCGTAGATCAAGAGTGCTGACCCAAAGGGCGGGAGGGAGGAGAGGAGCGCGAGGCGGGACGTGAGGAGGGCTTTGCGTAGGGTGGCCACGGCAGCTGAGCTTTTTGAAGTTGTGGGAGTTTGATTCTGCAAAAAGATGTTAGGAGTGGGTGATGATGTTGGTCAGCGGATGGCACTTACAGGTTGGATTTGAGAGCGTGGTGGATGATGAGGCGGACTGTTCTAGGGAATCCTAGAAATATTTATGGAGATGAGAGAAACGGAAATGAAAAAAACAAACGATACTGTCGGCTGCAGAAATCTCACGCAAACACAACAAAGCTGATGGTCAGTTGACGACATGTGATGTAATGGTAATACATCCAACCACGGTGGTCATGAGCAGCCCCGCATTCACCCCGCCCTCGACATCCCGCCGCGGCTGCAATGCAGGAGGGGGCTCGTCACGAGTGTAAACAACATCTTGAGCATAACATGTACTCGGTATATTTAGAAATGTTTCACTGTCGAGTCTGTCTGTAGCTAAACCCGGCGCCGTACAAAGTCACTGAAATGCAAGCGCCGTGTTCTTGTTGTGCTGGGGTCAATAAAATGCCCATAATGCCAGCTTGAGAATGCAGATATTACAAACGAAACCCAGAGGCAGTAATGATGAGTGGTATAAAACAAGGGGAAAAAAAGACTACACAACGGTGTCGGGACGCTCGCCCGTGGCAATAACAGGAATACCGAGACCCCGGTCAGGGCTCTGAAGCACAAGCTGCTCATGTCTCCTCGCCTTCAGATAGTCGCTGACAGCCCGAATGAGAACAAACCAACCGATAATCATCATGAGGTACGACACCCAATCGGCGCCTGTAAAATCGTCTACACCACCGCCGTTCTGATCTTGCACATTATCGGGGTCAAAGTCATGCGCGTTCGGGTCCACAGGGTTGATGAATCCGCTATCAGCAGTCGGGTCATCATCATACCTGCCTCCAGATGGTGGTGCGCTCTGCATCATGAAGCCGTACTGAATGAGTTGGATGCCCAAGCCGGCCTTCGCTCCGTTTTTGGCCGCGTGAGTGGTGTGTAGAAGGTAGCAGAGCAGGAAACCGACGAGAAGGGTCATCGAGATGAATCCGTTCCACAAGAAGCTGAAGATCGAACCGACCGGCATTCCGTCGATAAACACGTCGTCAAAGCCGCCCAGCCCTGGGGCGAGGACTGTCGTTTCCCAGTAAGGGGGCGCAGAATCAGCTGCTGCCTGTTCGTAGGACTGTCTCAAGGTCAGTACCACTGTCTACCATCATCCTCGCGTAGCCACCGGGAACATACAGGTGGAAGTTCTTCCTTCTCTGGTTCTCCCCTCTCTGGCTTGGCCGCCAAGTTCGAAAAGACGCCATCCGACTGGATTCCGCCGCCGTACACCCTCGTCGTTGTCGGTGCCTGCCCAACTGGCCTCGACGGTTGCGAAGCCTGTGCACTCGTCTGTGCCGTCGTCGCCATCGTCACTGGTGTTATTGAGGCTGCGTCGCTCGCACTTGGTGTTGTATTGTCGTGCACCAGCCTCTGCCGATCATCCGGCTCGTCATCCCAGGCATCCTCATCGTCGCTTCCAAATGCGTCGTCAAGATCCTGGTTTTGGCGGTTCCCGTTGTCTCTGCCGATTATCGACGATGCTCTCGAGTGAAAAGATGGTGGTGGCGAGTTTGGGATAGGATATGTCGGCCTTGGCGCATTGGAGACAGGTGTGTGGTGATCTTCTTCGTCGCGGGTGTTCACCTGTGCAAAAGGTTAGTCCTCCATGTTGCCAGAGACATCAGAAACATCCACCGTTGGAAACAAACATACCCGCTCGTACCGACTCGTCATGGTGGGCGTCGTAAGTCGATGTGGTTGTGGTTAATCTTTGTTGAGAGGTGATGGGATCGCCCCCCTCTTTGATGTCAGAGATGTGCTAGGAAACAGAACGAGTGTCGCAGAAAGTTGGAAGGGTTCGTCGATCGGAGGTAAAAGGTCGGTAGTGGAAAAAGACGTGTGGAAACGGCGAGGTAAGGAAGTGATTTGAACACAAAAGGCGAACAAGGTTTGAAGGAAAAACGGTAGGCAGAGAGAGAGAAGCAAAGAAAAGAGCGCGCGTGGCTCCGTCAGGGAGTCGTTGATTTGATGAGGAATCAGGTTGGTTGGAGAGGGTGCAGCAGTGCGACAGTGCTGTGGAATAGCGCCCGGCCCGGCTGACCAAGAGCGCGTTGCGTTGTGCCAAGCGGCTGCCTCCTGACTCCACATGTTCCCTTTTTCGGCCTTGGTGCCACACCCCTTAACATGGGCGATGCCTACTTGGCAGATTGGACTGTGGCTTACGCGCACCCAGAATCTGGGGTCCTGTGGCTGGTGGCAGCTTGAAGCTGGAGAAATTCCCCAGATTGACGTCGACATTTTTGAAGGCCGCATCCCAGCTCCGAGACCGTCGCCAACATGTCTGCTGTTCCCAAGCACGTATGTAGCTGCTTCTGGTAGCCCATTTAATTCAAAATCATCTCCAACAGAGACTAACCTCCCTCCAGAGCACAGCCAGGTTATTCCAGACTGCCCTGCAGCGCTGGCCCAAAGATCCCCTCCGTCCCGGCTGCCAGCTTCAAGATGCCCTTGCCAAGCGGCTCACCAAAGGTCCTCTTGCGCCAACCCTGATCAAGGGATTGAGCCAAGAGCAGGCAGACCTCAGGCAAACCAATGCGCTCTTCTCCCTCACCGAGAATCGTTACAAGAACAAGGTGGGTGCAGACCGGCGCTACCTACAAGGCAATCTTCGTTGCTGACCCAGGAACGCTCTCAGTATCGTGTTCCAGAATCCTTCCTCAAACCCAAGTTCAACCCCAACTACTACAGCGACATCCTGAAAGAGCTCAATGAGGCACCCACACGTTCTTATTTCCAGAGGGTCGCCAAGAGGGTCCAGGGTATGTTCCGCCTGGAATGATGCCTCGATAGTAACGGCCATCCATGTACACGACTGTACCATATGATATTTCTGCATGACGCGGCGTTTGGAGTCTGGGGAAAAGAAAAGGGATACACGGTCATAATCCCATATTTTGTATTCCAATGTACATAACCCCCCCCCTTTTTGTCTACCCATGCATAATGGGGTATAAGAAAGAGCAAGACAACCATCCAGAACGCCCTGTAAAGACACAACCTCCCCCAATCCCTTGTTTATAGATACCTGCCCTCTGGGTCTAGCTTGTTAAACAGGTCCATGCTCTTTTCGTACATGGTAAACACAATACCACCGCTCATAATCAACCTCGCCAATCGTGGCAGCGCGCCGCTCCAGAAAGTCAACACGCCCTCTTGCTTGAAGATGATGCTCGCGCACCGGAACGAGTTGCCGTAGAGTTGCTTGGCCTCGATACTTTGCATACGCGTCTTGATGGTATCAAGAGGCTGGGTCACATAGACGGTGATCAACCCTGCGATACCACCCATGGCGAAGGTAGCCACACCGCCGAGCTTCTCTCCCGGCGCTGTGTAGCTCTCGGCGAGCTGCTTCAAAGCAGTGTAGGAACCGAAGCGAGTAGCACTATTCGCCGCTTGACGGGCGGTGGTGGGCACGAAACCCTGGAAGAAACCGCGGATACCACGTTCGCGGGCAATGATTGGAACGGCGTGGAGGAACCCGCGGAGGCGAGGTTTGGCGGACTTGCGGTCATCGATGCTGGGGACCGGGGTTAGCACGGGTAGCAGGAATATGGCACAGGACAGAAAACCCACAGGGTGGTCTTGATACTTTCTGTCGGTGTGACAGCGAGCAGAGACTCGGTCACACCGGCGCCGAAACCCGCAATCACGGTCCGAGGACCGGAGACATTGCCGTCGGCGTCAGCCAGCATCTTCTTGTACTGGTCAAAGGCAACGAATCCTATGCGCCCAATCTGTCAGCGCCCTATTTCACCCCTCAATCCTCCTCAAGGTAGAACACACGAATGCCCGCCTTAGCCGAGTTGCCGATAATCAGCGTGGTGCACCCGGCATACCACTGAGCACCGAAAGGCGGCCATGGCAGCTTCTTGCCCTCTGCTAACCTGCGGTTGAGCTGTGTCCTGGTCTTTGCGACTGTCGCATTGTGTTAGAGCCTCGTCGAGGATATCAATCGGTCGTCGTAGGGGGTTTCACATACACTCGGCTGGGTAGGTAATGGCTGGAGACAAGGAAGCCCGGGTTAGCGGCAGTTGACTTCATCGGAAGAGATCACATACCAATTTCGACAGCGCCCGCAGTTGAGCCGGCAATGATGGACCGAAGGGCACTTGGCCCCTTGACCGCCGGGTGGTTGCTATTGTCTTTGGCCGGTGCTGATGACATTTCGAGGACCTGAACGGGGTTGCGATGGTTTGTTCCAGAGATGCGGTAGGTGTTTGTTAGTCACCAAAGTTTTGGCGGCTGTCCCTGCTGCGCCAAGCAGCCCTGGGCAACGATGCCGATTGCGGGGCATCTCGACCGAGGTGAGCGATGATGCAATGACAAAAGACCCGCTGTTAGTGTTCCCGGCCAACTTCTGCTAGCCCACTATCACATACACAACAGTCACATCGCGCGACCAACTTCCTTTCTGGTCCAGCCATTAGATTGGATCATCTACTGGCACGTCTACCATATTTACGCATCTGGTTCAACTCAACGCCACGGCGCGCGTCTACCTTCCCATTGGTGCGTTCAACAAGACTATTGACGATGAGGCTCGCCAGACCCCGCCATCTCACGACACCTCTCTCAATTAACTCCCCGTCGAGATGGTCTTTCTACTCATGAAACGATGGACCCCCTTGCCATTGGCGGAGGCGGCCTCGCCTTGATCACAACAATTGTCAATGTCTCCAAGACCATATACTCTTTTGTCAAATAGGTCCGACAAACACGGACCGATCTGGACGCCATATCTCGAGAACTCAGCTCATCGAAACTTGTCCTCGCGCTTCATATTGAAGACGACGAAAACGAGAATATCGAGTTTCCCGAGGCCCTCACCTGGCACATCTGCGGCATCGTTGCCAACTGTCAACATGTCGTTGGAGATATCGAAGACTTTCTGGAAAAGTACAAATCTGATACTCGTGGCAGGAGTGTCTCGTGGACGTTGTCGAGTCAAGACGACATGTCAAAGCTACGGAGGAGCATCGAAGCCCACAAATCGGTACTTGATTTAGGCCTCGACATGCTAGCACTGTATGCATAACCATGTTCAAGCCCTACTGACACATGCTTACCGAGTCAAGGCACCTCGCTAGAGAGACGATGATTGAGACAAGAGAAATTCACCAAGACACATCGGCCATCAAGGAAGACACTGCTCTCATTCTGGAGGAGATAGCGAAGCTACAGGCCCGGCTTCCAGCTGACTGCCTGAGTCCAACTGACTTTGTGTTACAGAGATACTTGGAAGAGTTGAGTGCCCTCACTGAAACCGACCATGACACTATGTCGGTTCAATGGCTCGAACCTTGGCATCCATCTTCGGCGGTCTCTATTTGATCTGGCTCCCGCTCCCGCTCCAATCGTCTAAAGTCTACACAAACTTCTTCTCAGGAAGCCTCCCAAAGGGCTACTAAAACCGGCCCGATTCCTAATGGCCGAGCATTGCAGCTTCTTATCGTCTTAAACCCCATCCTCCGCTACCTAAGACAGACATCATTCATCAGCCTTCTACAGCGTGCCTGAGCCCTACCCAACCTCCCCTCTCAAATTCTCATGGCGTAGCCCAACTATATTTCAGCCGACATACAGTCACCTACTTGCCCAAACCCCCATCACGTATACTCCATACCCGCCCGACAAAACCATCGATTAAGCAGCCGACTAAAACATAAAGAAGTAGCAGGCAGAATTGGGACCCTAGGGTGGTTTGTACCACTAGCGAGCTCCTGAATCATGTTTCACCCATCAGAGACCACAGGCTTCTGGTAGTGCTCAATCTCTAATCAAAGCCATGGCCAGAATTTCAGCTAGACAGAACACGAAGCAGCTTTGATTCTCTTGTCCGTGACCTGGCAACTATCGTCGGACGGAAAAGAGGCTACGGTCACGTTCACGGCAATCTTGATAACTGTCCGGTCACCTGTTTCCGAGGACTTGCGGTCCGCATATGTCCAACTTCACGGTGATGCCATGGTGGCGCGGCAACTTTACCAGTTTGAAGTCTTCGAGGTCTGGATTGTTCCTCTGAGCTTTTCGTGGGCGGGGAAACTGACTACACAACAGCAATATCCTTTTCGTCACTGTCAAGTTCTTCATGTTGCCGTTCGGCCACTGGCGCCAGATCTTGGCTACCAGGGCCTGTTTTGTCAGCTAGAACATCCGCTACGTCCATCATTAGTCTTGAATACAGGGTGGGCAATAAGCCAAGTAATTACTTACTTGACATGCAAGCCAAGTCAAATAAGTAAGTCAAGTAAGGCTTATTTTTGACCAAGCCAAGTCAAGCCCTCCCACCGGCTTGGCTTGAGGGCTTGACCAAGCTGCCAAGGCCGGGATTCTGGCCGGGAGGGTGTCCCGGAAGACCGGGAGTCCTTGACCGGGCCGGAAGACTGGTCGGAAAAACACCCTTCCGGGCTCCGGCCGGGGGCTTAGCGGCTTATCAAGTGCGGCTTACAAGTAAGCCAAGTTGTGGCTTCTACACCTGTCCCAAGCTTTTAAATGGTAGCGTGGTACTTACTAACCTGATAGGGAAAATAATGCAGACATTTAATCTATTCTTTTCCAAGTCACAGTACTACCAAACAGGCGAATTTCCCATACAATTTCAAGTACCTATACTAACAGCGAATGAGTGCCCCATTTGCCTCAATCACCCTTTGAAGCCTCCGGGGCTTACTATAAACAAGTGAACGAATCCATTCAGAAGGCACTGCCTCCCAGGTTTCTATAATTGCCCTACGTAAGGCCCTGGGGCTAAGGCTTTAGATATTTTACCGCATTTCGATCCAATCTTTCATCCAAAACCACACATTTTCAACAGGGTTCAAATCAGGGTTTTTTGCCGGCCAAGTCATAGTTCAATACCTAGCCTTCTGATGTAGCCCTGGTTGCCATAGAAGAGTGAGGAGAGGCATCATCCTGTTAAAAAACCACAGAAGTACCCTATACCTTTTTCTTCATAATAAAACCGTAGATAATAGAGAAAATATACCTCCAATACTTCTCGCTATTAATCCCACCATATTCCTTTTCCCACACAAAAGAGGCTGTCTTTTCACACCCACATATTATACCCCAAAACATCCAACCGTAAGGCTTTTGCCGTATAGTAGCCCAGGCCTTGATACCTTCAAATCGTGTAAAGTAAGCCACCTTTTTTACATCGGGTCATTAGTAGCCCAGGCCTCGTCACTAAAGGCCACGTGCTCCCAGTCTTCCGGGCGAGGCCGAAGTGCCAATTGCTCGCGGACAAAGGCCAGCCGTTCGGCCCGGTATTGGGCGGTGAGCTTGATCCTCCGCGGTGGGACCTGACGACTATAGCCGGCTGCTCTCATGGCTGTGATGAAGACCACATCCTTCCAGTGTTCAGATCCTTCTAAATACAGCTTTAAATCTAGCCAACTAAGCTTGCGAGCGGGTCGTCATTGAGAGGGCGAGCAATACGGTCCTTCTCTTCGTCGGTAAACCGCGAGGGCTTCCGGCCACGACGGTTGGTTCGCGGGGTCAACGGTGTAGTGAGAGCATATTGAATCTGTTTATCCGACGCGCCAGTGGCTTCGCGTATAGCCGCGTAGGACATATGGGCGTCTTCGCGCACGGCACGTATTCGAATCTGTGGCCAGTCAGTTAGTCAGTGAGAATTGAAGAGGGTTAGGGATATATATGGCTACACCGTGCTCACGCGGGAGCTCTGGGGCCTTGTGAGCGTTCAGGTGTTAGTGTGGCCGTTGTTGCCTTGCCAATTGAAGCCGGTAGAAGCGCTCGGCTGTGGGTGACGTGTGAATATCGTTGTGGTTGATAAGAGCATTTAATTTCCATCGTGGTGGTGGTGGGTGTGGTCGATGGCCGTGGTGTTGCGCGAGAGGGTTCGCATTGCCTTGAGAATTGAGAGGTACCGCTGCCATAGAAATTGGTAGCAAAGCGACTTCGGATTCGGTGGATTTTGATATTGCGTATGTGGCTGCTGATCGCTGACATATTGGCCTGTTGTTTTGTGGGGCAAGTCACACGCTACCGTATATTCTCTTGGTATAGGTGTAGGTAAAATAAACGGCAAGCCGGACCAAGTCAAGCCAAGTCAGACCCCAAGCTTGACTTGACTTGGCTTCTTGCCCACCCTGCTTGAATTTTTGTAAGCCTGGCTTGGAAATTCGAGTTTCGAACATTCATCTTGCTCGGCAGTTGAAAGGCGGCATCACCGTCGGGTCGCGGCCTGTTGTCAAATCATGCATTATTTTGTGGCATTTATTTGGTTAATGGCTGTCTTCAACGTCATCCACCACCCAAGTTCAATCCCCTTTTTTATACCACAACCATGCCACCGGCAATAGCGGCAACCGCGGCAGCGGCAGCGGCAGCGACAGCGACAGCGACGTATCCTGTCTCTCTGGCACCAGCAGCAGTAGACGTGTCGGTAGACTGGGCGCTTCCCTCCTTCGACTCGGTATCCTTCCCGCCGGCACCTGCCTCCTCGCTTGGGCCGATGGTGGTGGTGGGCGCGACAATGACGGTGCGAGATGGGCTTGGGGAGGTGGTGAGGAGCTCGGAATCGGGGAGCGACATGGCAGCAAATGCCGTGTGGCACGAGTCCATGTCGCTCATAGCAACGAACAAGAAGTCAAAAGCCATGTCTTTGGAGCATTTGGCCTTGAGGCTGGATACAGCAGGCCCGATGGAACTGGCGTAACTGGCCTGGGCCGAACGATAGGTGGACCACTCGGACTGAAGGGACGAAGGGGGATCCGGCATCTCTTTGCCATAAATGGTGTAGCAGATGTTGAGCACGTCGCCCAAGCTGTTGCCGTTTTTGGCTTCGTTCGCGGTAGCCATCCAGTCCTCAAGTTTATCGCTGGGCTCTGGCTTTCGCGCCTGTATGGAGGCAAGCTGAGCGTGGCATTCCAACTTGAGAGCGCTCTCGCTCTGGCGGCGGTTGAAGATGGGTGCCGCGGTGATGGCTGGGGCTTGGGCCGGGTTGGCGAGGGCGGAGACGAGCGTGTAGGCGAGCATGTTTTCTGTTGTTTTGGGGTGTCTTTGGTGTGATCCAGGTGTGTTTGAGCTTTGCTCATGCAGAAGAAAGGAAATGGGAAAAAGGAATACAACGAAATAGACGTTCTTATACTCGAGGAATTGATCTGTGGGAAAAGCCAATAACGTATCTTGAGGTTGGAATCCACTAATGAGCCTCCACAAACTTCGTGGTTCGCGGCCAGCCACAGCAAACTGTAAAGGTATCACGTGTGCTAAGGGAGTTCTTTCTGCCCGTGTACGCAGTTCGTCTTGGGTGGGCTTGTTGAAGCCTCACAAAGCTTGGAGAGAGCTGGCGTCAGATGTGGATGTTAGATATGTGAGAGGGGAGCTCACTAACGATGTCATCGATGGTGGCGGTGCACACTCGGGCTTAAGAAGCATTGGGAAGGTGTTATTGGTTCAGGCTTGGCGATGATTCTGGTAGGTCGGGGGCACTCGCATTCGGGAGTCGATCCCGAACATAGGTCTGCAACGGGTTTGGTTTGCGGCTTGGAATGCTGACGTTGAACTTGATACACATTATCATTTAGCTACCCGGTGTTATCACCAATCCTCTTTACAGCGCAGCCATGGCACCGACAACGGCGAGAGCGGCGGCGGCAGCAACAGCCACATGTCCAGTCTCCCTTGGGCCACCAGCAGTGGATGTGCTGGTCGTCTCGGTGCTCCCCTCCTCACTACCACCATTTCCGTTCCCATCAGCGCCCTCATCCTCGCTGTCATTCCCGCTGACATCTGTCTCCTCACTTGACCCGGGCGCCGTGGTTGAAGGCGCAAGAACGTTTGTCCGAGTCGGGCCGGTGGTAGCAAAATCGTCACCATCAGTAGCGGTAAGGTACGGCACGGCATCCATATACGCCTTGTACGCTCTGCTGCACGAGACCTCCTCAGTAATGGCCAGCAGTCCTCCAGCGGCGGCGATGACGGAAGGGCAGCCCATGGCGGACAGCTCGTGCGCAGGGCCCTTCATGGAGATGGCAAACATTTGAGCCTCGGACATGTAGCTGGTCCACTGGGACGCGAGAGAAGAGGGCGGTTCCAGAGTGCTTTTGCCCCATCTGGCGGCGCACATTGCTTTGATGTCGGTGTAGTCGGTGAATAGCTTGAGGTTCTCGGGCTGGTTCATCCATTGGATGATTGGGTGTTCACGTGGGAGATCGGGGGCTCTTGCCATCATGGACTCATAATGGGCCTGGCACTTGAGTTCGAGAGCGCTTTCGCTCTGGCGCTCGTAGATTGGTGCTGGGGTTATGACGGGAGCTGGGGAGGCGAGGGCGAGGGATGCGCCGCCGATGAGGGCTGAGACGAGCGTGTAGGTGAACATTTTGTGATGTTTTCTTTTGGCGTTGGGCCACGGTATTTTGGATCGTGAGAGGCAAAGTGCGGATGTGGGAAGTAAAAGAGTGAAATGCACGATGGCTGCCTGCTGGTGGAAAGGGAACGTGGAGGCTGTGATACGCGATGGGGGTGGCAACTGTTTTTGTAGGTTCTTTTTAATGGACTTTTGCATGGGAAATTGCAACATTCAGGGGTGTTGGTTGGTTTGGAGCCGTTGGACTTGGCAAGGTCATCCAGGTGGATCATCCAAATGCGACCTCGCTTTCGGATCTTGGAACGGGTGCCGAGCAGATCTATGAGCTCTTCGGTCCGGGATGGCTGACATGGTGTTGAATAGCTGAGCGGGAGACTGTTGTTGAGGTTACTGGATGAATGTTCATTATATTGGACCGCATAACATCGGTTCTGTCGATGAATCTCAACGGAGCCCCCAACGCGGTTGTCGGGTATGTAGTGCTTACAGTTGTTCTACCTTGCTCATAGGCCACTGCAACGTCAGACCAAGTAACGGCAGTACATAGACGTACGTCCTTGAAGGACGGAGTAGCCAGCGACAGACTCCTATGTATCCCAGGCTGGGAGCGACACCAATGCCGAACATGGATGCAAAGGATGACCACTCGGGTAATTCTATTCATCCCCACAAATTGCAACTTTGCACAACAACTCATGCCGAGACTAACATTACTATACAGGATTGGTTGCCCAACATTATTACAAGAAAGGAGGGGGTTACAGACAGCCAAGGAGCGGTCGAGGGGAGGAATTGGTATTGACGGGAATGTTAACCTGACTTGACCTCCAATTTTTGACCAGGGACTACGCATCCTATACCGACACGCATAGCAATGCATCTATTCTACACCATGGCGTACCTTCTATTCTGGATCCTGGCCTTCGCCGCAATAACCGTTACCGCGAGCGACAATCCTCTCGACATGATCCTCCCTCGTCAGCAAAACATCTCCTCCACCTGGCCCTGCGGCCCCTTTTCCACCCGAGGTCGCGATATCGTCAACTCTCGGAGGCGAAGTAATCACATGGGCGGGCTTCAACTGGCCCCTCAGCCGAGAGACCATGATCCCCGAAGGCCTGGAATACACCTCTGCCGATTCCATCCTCGACCGCATCGCCTCCGCAGGCTTCAACTTTATTCGAATGTTGTTTTTCCCCCCCTCCTCTCCCCCGACCCATTGGCATTCTTCCCATCACTGACTGTGTCACGGTGTCACAGGCCCTACACAATCGAAATGATCGACCTCTTCTACCGACACCCCCTTCCCCCAGACTCTCATCTCTGCCCTCGACCCAGACAACGGCGCCCTCATCACCTCCCAGATTCTCCTCCATAATCCCATCTGGACGCGTAACACGACACTGTTCAAGATCTGGTCTGACATTGTCCGCGTCGCCGCCCGAAAGAATCTGTACATCCACCCCGACGCGCACGTCTCAAAGGCGGGGTGGTGCTGCTCCCAGACCGACGGGAATGCCTGGTTTGGGGACGAGCACTTTGATATTGAGAACTGGACGCGAGGGCTGGGTTACGTAGCCCGATGGGCGGGGGATCACACTAATATCGTTAGCATGTCTTTGCGGAATGAACTGCGGGAGTCGTGGGGGATGGCTAGGGGGGGTTCAGGTTACAACTGGGTGAACTTCGTGGGGAAAATGACTGCTGCTGCTGCTGGGGTAATTCATGCTGCGAATGAGGATTTGTTGATTCTTGGGGGGGAATGCAGTACGGGCAGGATTTGTCTGCGCTAACAAGTAAAAGGAGTTTGATGACGGCAGGCGTGGAGGAGGAGCGGTGCGCGCCGGCGCAGAGGTTGACGCCTGTTATTTTGAGTGAGTTTGGGAGAAGGCAGGATGGGGGGTTGATGAGCGACGTGCTGTTGGGTTGTTTGAAGGAGTTTTACAAAGAGGTATGGGGTCAGCTGGACGATGTGGAGCTTGGCGGGGAGGTATTGGATCCGGGAGGGGAGGCAGCAGGATGAGGAAACCTAGGGGCTGTTGAATGGGACGTGGGATGGGTGGAGGTTTGAAGAGAGCGTGGAGGGGTTTTGGAAACCTTGGTTGAGGGATATATGGGGTTGGGCGGCGGATGATGGGTGAATTTCAACTTGGCTTTGGAAACCTGGTGGGCAGAAATGGTGTATGTGATGTCAGAGCCAGTTGGTTAGCTTTGAATTTCGGCAGCAAAGTGGTTAATGCATGAAGACGAGTCATCACTTTGCAGTTCTCGCAGACTAAGGTAGACAAATTCTAAGTACATCCTCATCTACCATAATAAATCAAGGCATTCTACAATCCAATGGTGATAAGGTACCAAGAGCCCCACTATCACCCGAGGCATAATGGCGGAGAATGCGGTTGCTTATTAAGAGCTGCAGGATTACTCAACAGCTCCTCCCGTTCTTTGTTCACTAATCACTGCACCCAACACCGACGGGCAGCGAATCCCGGCCTGCATATCCCGGAACGAGCCTCACCACCTCAGGGCTACTTGGCACGATGAACTCTCAGCCGAGATTCATTCGGAAGGGAGGTGCGTTCGAATGCCGAACCATGAGATTTGTCAAGGACATTGCTTTGAAATGCTTGACGATTTGGAACTTCCTTTGGACACTAGAATCCTTCAATGGGGACCACCTTAGGTATTAATGGCATCGTGCCCCAACAAACTAATTTTCTCGCCTGGCCAAAGCGGACTGTGGATCTTTCAGACCAGAGACCGCGACTTAAATATTGAGAATCTTCTACTTTCAGAGTCAGTTTATCTTGAGGCACAACAAAGCTCATATCCATGATCCTGCCCACATCGTCATCATCAACCAGCTGTCCATCTATTCCCGCCAACAAGACCACCATGTCCAAAGGCCTCGCCCTCATCACCGGCATAAACGGCTTCATCGCCGCCCGCACCGCCCTCACCTTTCTCCAAGCCGGCTACCGTGTCCGCGGCACGGCCCGCTCCCTCCACTCCACCAAGCCCCTCCTCTCCGCCATCCCGGCCGAACTAGTTGCCAACCTCGAGATCGTCGAAGTCCCCGACATCACCATCCCCGGAGCATTCGACCAAGCCATCAAAGGCGTCACCACCGTCGCCCACCTCGCCTCTCCCATCTTCCTCACCTCCACCGCCCCCGGACCCGTCCTCAAGGCCGCCGTCGAGGGAACTCAGAGAGTCCTCGAGTCAGCCCTCACCGAACCCACCGTCAAATCCTTCACCCTCATGAGTTCGGTCGCTGCCATCATCGACACCGAGTCCGCCAACGCCCACTACGACGAGTCAAACTGGAATGAGTCCTCAGAGAGGCTTGTCCGGGAGCTGGGCAACGAAGTTCCAGGGTATATCCTCTACTTTGCCAGCAAGACCGCCGCTGAAAAGGCCCTCTGGAAGTTTAGAGATGAGCACAAACCAGCCTTCAAAATCGCGGCTGTCAACCCCGTCTATGTCGCTGGCCCACCCGTTGTTGTGCCGGAGTCAAGGGACAAGATTCACGGGACGACAAAGCTGATCAGTGATGTTTACTCTGGCACTGAGCTGGCTAAGTCGGGGTTACCTGGGGCGTTTCCCTCGTATGTGGATGTGAGGGATGTGGCGAGGGTGATTTTGTTTGGGGCGGAGAACCCGGAAAAGGTGGATGGGGAGAGGTTTTTGTTGAGTGGGTATCATGTTCCCGCTCAGGCGGTGGCGGATATCTTGAGGGAGAGGTATCCTGAGAGGGAGGGGGTGATTGAGAAGGGGGAGCCGGGGCAGGGGTATGAGAAGGGGTATGGGTATCCGAAGGAGAGGGTCTACGATGGAAGCAAGGTGGCGAGGGTTACGGGGGAGGGGTATATTCCTTGGGAGAAGACTGTTGTTGATTTCGTGGAGAGCGTCAAGGCAATTTTGTGAGGGGTTGGGGCTATCTAATGGGGACTTTTCCTTTTACTGCAGTGGTAGATGGATTATAAAAACCTTGGGGGGTAATTCCATGTCGTCAGGTCTAAACTGTCTTCCTCTTCTTTTTACATCGTGATTTAGGATTCTGGTACCTACTCCTTCCCGTGGTCTGGATCTTGACTGCGCTTTCCCGTTGAGAAACTCGGTGACGCAACCCCCACAGTGGCCCTTAGCAGAACAAAGTGAGAGCAGGCAGGAGCGACTTAGCCATATGCGGGGCTGGTCGGGAATTGTTTCCCCACTGTATGTCAAGGCACCTATCTTTTCGATTGCTCCTGCCACTTGAGCCGAAAACCATGCGCTGAATATTGGGGGCAAGTGGGTTTGGGACTGTTGAGGAAGGAGGTCACAGGACGCGGATCAAGAGTATCAAGATGCCCGTCAAAGAGACATCAAAATGTTGTGGCCTCGAGTGGAGGGACAAAAGTGGTATATCAATTCCCTAAGCGGCTAACGGAACGGGATGCCTGCTCTCGAGATATCGGACGATTATCACAAGATCCCAACCGATGGGACCGTCTGAACCGCAGCAGAAGGACACGGAACAACACGGTGGAGATAAGCGGCCGCCCGAGATGCTCTCTTTGGTCTGTGCAAGCAACTCTCTCACGTATATATACTTTGCAACCTGTCTCCCTTCGATCTCTTCTTTTTTCACAACCAGCCTCGACAACAACTTCCAGTCTCCCATTCACAACGACAGCCGCAAGACCAACTCAGAACTTCACCCATCACAATGCTTTCCATCTCCGCTTTCATTGCCAGCGGCCTGGCTCTCGCCAGTGTACGTTTTTGATCATAACTGAACCAGGATTCAAAGCCCCAGGTTGCTAACAGCCACCCCAGGTTGCCCACGGCGCCCCTGGGTTCGCATCCATCCGCTCTGACCAGCCCGATGTTTCGAGCTACGCCACCGTTCCCATTACCTGGGAGCTCCCCGTCAAGGCTGACGACCCTACTGGCGCTACCGTCGAAGTGACCGGCACCATCGAGGAGGCTATCGCCCAGATGGATGCCACTTACCCCGGCTGGAACGAAACTTTCCAGGCTCACCTGCCCCCTCCCCCCACCGTTGACAGCGGCGCCTTTGATCTTGCGGCTCTTGATGATCCTGAGTCCTACATTTGCAAGCTTGACCAGTGGAAGGAGGCTGGCCAGCTTTCTATTCTCCGCGGCATTGAATACCTCCGTGGTCTGACTGGCTCGGCCAAGAACGGCCCCGGCCCTGGCGAGTGCGGTCGTGTTTCCTGCTCTTGGCAGTCGGCTATTTGGTGGTGCAACGACGTGAGTTTATCTTGTCATTAATCGTGGGGCTGCTGCTGACCATGAAACAGAACGACACGGAGAAGGAGGTTGGCTGGAATGATATTGCCGATGGGACTTTGTACATCCTCCAGAAGTGCTCTCGGGATGCCCAGTATGTCAAGGGTCAGGCTTTCTACAAGGACAAGTGGAACGTGATTGTTCGTTATGACAACGACAGCTGTTAAATGCAGCAAGTTGTCGGCAACATTAGGGATAGTTGGAGGACTCTATAAGGGACTGTAGCAGGAATTTATCTCGTTGGTCTGTGACCGAATACACTGAGTTACGGGCAAGTGAAACATGTAAGAAATTGAAAAGCTGTTAAATAGCATATGAAGCCCGAGGAATCGAAAGGCGATTATACCTACCTACTTATTGAAGCTATCCCTAAGGCAATTGCCACGTGTACATCATCCAGCTATATTTGTGCATGGCCCTCTTACGCCATACCTTATGCACCACTGACATTACCATCACTATAGTCAAATATCACTCACAATGGCGGTCACACCAAGTAGCCAGCGAGACCCTATATAAAGTACCATATAACAAGAATCTCGAAGTTGTCAACCCACCAATTGCAACCGTCTCCCCCGTTACATGACTCCCTCGCAGGTGTATATCTTGTTGAGAGTGATGCAATGGACAGTCAACTGGTAGGACTGAAGGCCCACTTGTAGAGCAAGATACCCGGTAAACACACAGGCGTGCAGCGCTGGTTGCTCCTGTTACGTAGTCCCGGTACTCCTGCCCCATACGGCGGGAACCATGAGCTCACCGTTGGGGCAATGTGGGTGTCATTAGACCCAGATCAAGAGCACCAGCACAACAGTCAACAAAGGCATATCAGGGGGTTTGTGGCTCCAAGTGGGGTAACGAAGCGGCGTATCTGCTCCGGAAAGATCGGGTGCCGGTCATATGAACTCCGCCTAAGGCATCGTCTGAAGAGCAGTGGTGGAGTTCTGGGGCCGACCGAAGTACTCCCACCGACTCGTCAACTCTCTCCTCAACTGTATATGTACTTGCCTTTCTACCCTCCTTCGCCCTTTTTCTTTTCCACTACCGCACTTAAGCGCACTTCCACACTACCATCGACAAACAACAACCAACAGCCACAAATCTACAACTTGAACACTCGGACACAATGTTGACCATTTCCACCATCTTCGCCGGTTTTCTGGCGCTGATCAGCGTAAGTTCTCTAGGCGATATGAATACAGTTCACCAGTTAACATGTCTTACAGGCTGTTCATACCGCTCCCACCTCCCTCGATGAACAGCCGGGCTCCGTCTCGGGCTACGGCATAGTCCCGATCTCCTGGGACCTTCCCGTCAACCTCGACGACCCCACTGGCGCCACCGTTACAGTGACCGGCACTATTCAGGATGCCATCGCCCAGATGGACGCCAGCTACCCCGGCTGGAACGCCACCTTCCAGGCCCGGGTGACTCCTCCCCCAGGCGATAGTGCCAGCTTGGACTCCACGGCCAACCTTGACGACCCGGACGACATCGACTGTAACGTGGACTACAAGTACGCAGGCAAGGTTACCATCGTGTGGGGTATCAACTACCTGCGTAGTATCACTGGCAAGCCGAAGAACGGCCCAGGCCCAAACAATTGCGGGCGTGTTAGCTGTTCTTGGAACTCGGCCATCTATTGGTGCAATGATGTATGTTGTCCATGGCCCAGATTCCTACCTTTGATATCTGCTAATCAGGAACAGGATACCGTCGAGAAGGAGCTCACGTGGAATGATATCGCTGATGGCGCATCAGCTGTAAACGAAGCGTGTAAGACTAACCGGGGTCACGATTCCAAGGGGCGCGGCAGCTACGATGACCATTGGAATGTTCTTGTTCGTGGGGATGTCTGCTGATTACAGCTCGTTATCCACGACATAGGTACTAGGGATACCGGAGTGTTCCTGGGACTTGGCAACAGGAGTTGATCTCGCTAGTCTCTGACCAAATACACTGGGCTTGAGTTTTAATCGTTACGGATTTGACGGTGAAATGTTGAATAATTGTACCTAAGTGAGCCCTCCGAGTTTCATAGAGCTTGCTCTAATGCATAATGAAACAAGAACCTAGGTGGACTACTAACACCGACTACCTCAACTCCCCACCTCGATATGTGAATTCTGGTGGCTGTCGCCAAGTGGCTGTCGGGCATGATTGAACAAAGACTCACTTACTAGAGATTCCCAAACTGGCAGCATTGTTTGAGGAGCTTCCGACCCAGAAAGTTCAGAGGGCCCACACATTGTGTTTTTGTGGCTGTTCTTGGACATGGTTTTCCTTTCACCATACCTCGAGTGTCTTTGTGCTGGCACTTGAAAGATACTGACGGGCCCCTCGGCCCAAGGCTAGACAATTCCTTTCACTGAACATGTTTTAACGACCTCAGTTGCAAAAGACGGTCATCGCCGGCTGTTCGGGTACACATAATTTATAATGGTTTTATCTCCCTTCAGCACGATTAGGAGGGTCTTTGGCAGCTTCAGAGGTGATAGCGTGCCACAGGACCGGCAGGAGCCAGATGGCTGGGATCATAGGCTGAACCCAGGCGAGGCCAGACGCAGATATCATGTTAACCCCAGGGTACCTCAACCGGTTGATTACAACCCTCCCGGGAGATGGCAACGCCAAAGGCGCGTCGGCGGGGGCCTCACCGCATGCTACCATCAGCAATTGATATTTACGCCTTGCCTATGGGTCCAAGACCTGCTCCTTCCCCTGCCAGAGCTGAGGGTTCCAATAGGAGACCACCTCTCCCTTCTGGCAGACCTCCTCTGATTGCGAGACGTCCTGTCCCTATTAGCAAAACTGATCCTGTTTACGGCGATCGACGTTCGCCTCCAACAATTAGACGGTCACCTCCAACAATGAGACGTTCGCCTCCAGCTCCAGGACTTAGACCTCAATCCCTCCCTGCGCTTCCAAGACCTACTCGCCCTGCCCCTTCGTCCCGCCCGGTGACCTACCCTCCTCCACAGGATTACCGTCCAGCACCACCAGTCCCCTACCTCAACCTGCCCCCCCGCACCCCCCGTGGCACCCCTCCGACCCCGCGGCCCTCGCACCCCAGCCCCCTACGTAGAGTCAGTAACCGACTACTCTGAACCCTCCGAGCCCTCTGTTCCCGCGGGTCCAGG